CTATGGCTATTTACCTCTSTCTTTCTATGGAAGATTTTAGTCCTCTGGATTTTTCTGAAAACACAATTTCAAAAAATTCATAACTTTTCTACTCTTTTTATTGTGCTGTTCTTTCTCTTCAGTGTCACTGTGATATATTTGAGAGTCTGTGGTAGGCCACCAAAGAAAACATCACCGTGTGAACTAATCCTCCCAAACTGTGTAGATTTGCTTTCCTGATCCAGATCTCATTGCTCAAGCTGGAGGTCCTCATTCCTGCTGTGTTATTGACAAGAAGATTTCTTCTTTATACCTTTGATGTTATTTCTCAATCTACTGCATAATGAACTTTTTTAACTATGGAAATCTGAAACATTATTACTCTTTCCATGGAAAATGTTGGTCTCCTTAATTCTACTGAAGAGWCTGACTTTCACTGGCAAACTCAGAATTTTAGGATAGTTTAATGTTAAGTCCTTTTGTGCCCTCCAGTGTCATCACTGATAGCCTTAAGAGGTTGTCCTGGCCACTGAAGAACAAAACAACATGTTAAAAGCACATTTGTTTCAGTGCAGAACTAAGTCTCTCTGATCCAGAATTTCATCACTCAACAGGRCATTATTATCACTGCTACAATTACAGAATGGCACTGAATTCCTTAACCCTTCTCTGGCATTTCTGAGATATTTTTAATAAATTTTATTCATGGACCTACCAARCTAGACTTCATTTCTTTTCTTCTATTAGACACATTTGAATTTATGYTGTTAAAAGTAAAACTTGTAAAGATATTTCCCAGGAAAATATGCACCTCTTACCRGTGTTTCCTTAGATATGAATGTCATGGAAGTTTAAATAACACACATTGTGGTTTTCATCAGGTTTAAACTTCCATTATTATATGACATTCATTGGAACAAATAGTTTGACTATTTCAAATTTCAAATATGTTTGACATCTCCTTTCATCTACATAATTTTTTGTTGGTGTGCTGAAGATAGCTCAAACTAGCTCTTAACGAGCTAATTTAGAGCATCTCTTTCCAATTTTGTGCTAAGTGATATCACATTTTTAGGTTGAAAGAGGCTGTGATGAGAGTATTTATTCCACAGAAATCAGCAACTGCTCTATATTACACTTTTTATTTTAAAGAAAAGGTTTCTTTCTCCCTGTTGGCAATGTCTACTTAGAATTAGAAACAATATTGAGTCACTAAAAATCTTCAGTATATACAAAGAGGTGTGGAAAATGTAAGAGAATGAAGCAATATTACAAAAATTCATGCTTCATATGAATATAAAAAAAATTGAATTGATCTGGTTGGATAGAGTCAGAATGGTAAAAAAGGGGGGCATTTCTTGTGAATAGGAGAATAAAGAAATACATATAGAATAAAGAATAGCATACTTCTTCTCCTCTCTGCTGAGGCTTGATGGTTAGAATAAAACTCATTTTAAGGAGAACCATTTCAAAATGATTGGTTGGTCTTATCCTATGTGTGATGAGAAGGAAACGTGAAGATTCCGAGGTTCCATGAATTTTGAGAACATTATAAAGACCGGTGTGCAGCTTTGTTCTATGCCTAGTGAGAGAGACCCATGTGGGCAATGAGTTATTTGAAGTAGATTTATTACCTGCAGATCAACAGCAAGAGATACCAGAAGCCCAGGACCCATGGTGAGCTGGTTCTCCATGGCTCAGGAACACTGCCTGGGCAAGGACTCTTGACTGTGTGGCCCAGGGACAACTCAGCTGATGGACCCTGAGAAGCAGTCCACCTAGGCTACACACCTGGGGTCATGAGAGTCTCTAGGACAGCCTGCAAAGGAGGAGAAGAGTTCAAGGATTTTCCAGCCAGTCCCCTTTCTCTTTAGTTGTATTCCCTGAACATCTACAGCTCTCCTTGAGAACTATGTTGAAAAAAGGGAAATATATTGATCTAAAGCCACTGGAGAACTGGGTTACAAGGGACAATAACAAGACTAGGAAAAGAGAAAAAGTACATTATAAATGAAGAAAAAACAGATAATTTAGAAAATTTAGATTTATATTTTATATATATTTATACTATTATATATATTTATATATATTATACTATTATATATATATATATTTATATATATTATATATTTAATTTGAGACTTAAAATTAAAATTTTTAATACTATCATTCCTTACTATTTCAGTCAACTTATTTCACATCTACTCAGGGTGAACATCTAAGGAGATATTTAGAAAACATCATCCAACTTGCCTCATGAGCAGCTAAAGAAATTATTTACACCTGTGGGTGATAGAATTTCCAAAATTAGATTTGAGACTGTATTTTGACACTGTGTTTCTGATTATTTAAAGCTGGCTTTTAATACCTTAGGTTCTGAAATACAATTAGACTCCAAACCTAAGTATATAATTATTTCCATTTTTTATCTTGTAAGTGATTTTGAATAGAGTATATGTCAGGTGCAGTGGAGTTTAGTATGTATATTGAACTATTTATGAAGGTCTTCAACATTTTAAATAAATTTAAAGAAAATTCATAGGTCATTACATTATTTACCAATGTAAAGACAGTAATGTTATAATGTTAAATATTATATTTTGATAGTAAAGACTATGCAACTAAATAATTTTTCTTTCACTGATTATATATATATATATATATATATATATATATATTATATATTTGATTTTTCATAATGAAACTTAGGTCCAATATTTCCTGTCCATTCATTTTACAACAAACGTAGTTTGGGCTCTTTTTAGCCATGTCATTAAACTGTTCTTACTCTCGATATTTCACACAGAATCCACCCTGAATATCAAAATGGAATTCTAAAATGTTGCTTTCATCAGGTCCTTCCCTCCCTTGAAATAAAAAAAGGAGGTAATTAAGCACAAAATCCTCAGCTTAAAAATCAATCAGGTCCTCCCTGACGGGTTTCCAAAGTCTTCATCATCTTCAATTACGTTTTTATCGACTGCTGTACCAACAGTGAGCTGCTCTGTGACGCGCCACCCGGTTTTGCCTCTGCTCCTGGCATCGTGGCATGTCCCCACCCCTTCCTAACTCCTGATCCTACCCAGTCCTACCTTATTTGAAAATCCATATAAACCACTCTAATTTTGTACTGGCTGTGAAATAAATGTCTTTACCCCTTATTTCATTATTAATGCATAATGAATTATTTCTATATAATTGATCTTCAAGAAGAAGGTGTTGTGTTTAGGAATCATCTAAAATTTTATCCTGCTCCTTTTCAAATGAAAAAATTTGAAGTATTCTGTATGGAATGCCTACTATTTTATCTATAACATAACATTTTCAAGGATTTTATAAGAGTGTCCCAAACACACAACATATACACACTCTTGCTTTTCCAAGGTGTTATGCTAAGCCTCTGCCATCTGATGTCAGACTGTACCTTCCATCTGTTGGTATTCAAACTGGAGGATATGTGTGATAGACATGGAGATCCTCTCTCAAATTACTCTTCCAAGAAGGAGTCACTGCCTAGGAGCATGACAAGACGCTAGTGCTGCCAGGGTCTAGGACAGGACTGGAGCCAAGACACACTCTCTAGGACAGCCACCAGCCAACGGCTGGATGCAGTAGCTTTGCTCGACATGGGCCTTCTTTAAAGGCAATCTTTGCTCAGGAGTTCCTACTGGCTTGGAGAGATTCTGTAAGGTCAGTGTTAGGGTCTCATGAATCCCCTGCTCCACCAGTAACTTCATGTCAAATGTCTGAGTCTTGGAGAATCAACATGTTACATTGGAATTATAAATAAATAAAAAGTAAAACACAAAGGAATTTGACCACCAGGTGTCAATGTGAAATGGGCAAGGAATTTAGAATACAATCCCCCTTACCTGAGGATTCCCTTTCTGTAGTTGCTATTACCCAGGACCAACTGTGATCTAAAAATRTTAATATTTTACTCTTTCAAGAGAGAAAGAGAAATCATATTTATGTAACTTTAAATATGTTGATATAATTGTTCTATTTTATTAAGAGTTATAGTTAATCTCTCACCATGTTTAATCTATGAATTAAACTTTATCATAAGTATGTATGTATGAGTAGGGTTTGGTACTATCTGGTTCCTGGCATCCACTGGAAGTCCTAGAACCTATCTCTACTAGATATCTCTACTAGATAAAGGTGAGCAACTGTAGTCGGCCACTAGAGTTGTGGATAACATGGGTAAAAATCATGTAAAGACAAGATATATTTTTCCACAAGAGAAAATATCTGTGAAAAAGATATCAACTTCCAGTTTTAAGAAATATGAGACATCACGTTTAAACAGAAAGGATGTCCCTGCAAGGGAATCATAGGAAGAAAACTGTGCTCTCTTGTGCTAGAGCAGATCTATTCCCTTATAGAATTTGGTATTTACAAGTATTTACAAAATTCTTATAGAGTTTTAGTATTTACATAGGTGGATATGAGGTCACAGCACAGAATATCCAATAAGGAGGGTGATTGTGAATTGCCCATGTTTTTGTGAATAAATGTTCTCTGTCATCTAATTGATTATAAACACTTCTGTTTCTTAATGACTTAATCATTTAATTTTAAACAAAAGGAAGAGGCTAAATTATTTAGGGAACAGTAAAAGCTACAAACTATCATGTGACAATTTAAAAAAAAACTTCAGAAAACAAAAGAAATCTACTTAGTGGAAGAAAATTAGAAAGATTCAATTTTAATGTAAAAGTAAATTTTAAAAATCAGCTCGGACACTAAAAACATTATCAAAATGAATTTTGGGTAAGGAATATTAAACCAAATTCAAAGGAAAAATGTTCCCACTTATCCTTGGAACTACACCTAAGACAGGTATGTCTTATTAGTATTGTTTTTCATCATGGAGAGATATTTAAAGAGAATGTCCCTCCTTTGTTGTGGTTTGCCACAGCTGCACTGAAAAAGTATAAAAGTCCAGGACACAGGGTGACATCCATTCTCAGGAAGCTCACCTTCAACTTCAGACCCAGTCCTCAGCCCCTGACACAATGAGCTACTACTATGGCAACTACTATRGTGGCCTGGGCTATGGCCTTGGTGGCTTCAGTGGCCTGGGCTATGGCTATGGTTCCCGCTATGGCCTTGGGGGCTATGGTGGTTATGGCTATGGCTACTTCCATCCCTCTTTCTATAGAGGATACTATTCATCTGGATTTTACTGAAAAAGTTTGGCATTACTGCTGAACTCAGAATGTTTCTCAAATTTTAATTCTATAGTACTCTCTCTCTCTCTATTTTTAAGATCATATCACCATGCATTGATGCCATTGCAACCATGGGAATCCATGTCTCTGTTAAAGGATTCAACTGTTCAATTTGAACTTCATTAACTCTTATTAGTTGTGATGGGTTGGCTCTCTGCCTTTCCCTTCTGTAACATTTCTGGAGTTTTCTTCTAATAAATTTTCATTTTGAATACATAATATCTGGTGTCATTCTTCATACTTTTAAGTACAATGGATTTTAAGGAATTTTTTAATTAAAATTACTTCTGCCATGGAATTTTTACTTGGTAATAGTATAGATTAGAAATGAACATCAATAAAAATACAAGCAAGTAACTAACTGCGTCAGATCAATTTTGCTGTTTTGACACTTTTTTTCATACTGTAATGATATTCCACATAACTAAATAAATTCAGACTTAATAGTACTTAGAATAGTAATATTCTTTATAATATTTAAATTCTCAGCAGCATCTTTTATTTTCAATACAGTCATGAATTATTAAAAATTTTAATGCTATGTAAGGAAAATCATCTTTCTTATAGATATTTCTTTCTGAACTGAGCATGTTCAAGAGGGAATTCATCTGAACCTCTTGACTTTGGGGGCCTCCTTGGAAGTCAAAGTTGTAGAAGTCTGTTGCTGTATTCTATTTGCCCTAACACAATCTTTGACCCTACAAAATAAGAATAATATAGTTTGAATAGTGTCATCTCAAAATTTGGGTACTTCTGAAAACATAAGAACGGGACTTTATTTGGAAGTATATATTTTGCAGATCAAATTAGTTAAAATGAGGTCATACTAGAGAAATATGTGCCCTTAATCAAATGTGATTAATGCACAATGGCCTCCCCCTTTCCTGTGAGGAATATTTTGATGGATACCCAAAATTATGGATAGTACCGAACTCTGAATATTCTGTTTTTTTTCCCTATACATGCATACCTATGATAAAAGGCAATTTATAACAATAAGATATCAACAATAGTAACTAATATTAAAATAGAATATAAATATATRCTCTATTAAAAGTTACTATATCTCAAAATAGCCTACTGTACTGTACTGTACTGTATTTTCAGACCCCAGTTGACTAATAACATTAGTCATATTCCATGTGACTACACAGGAGAGATTAGAGTGAGATGTCAACTAGTCAAGGAAATCTTGGCTTCTGGTACAAACAGAGGCTAAAAGACAGACATGAACAGATTCTCYTGCATGATCTTTGAAAAGAACATTGTCGTTTTCTTGACATCTTGATTCCATAAGTCTAGCATTCAGAATTATTGTTTGAAGGCAAAATTTTTGCTGTATATGTTTATACTGGGGATTGATCCTAGAGTTACTCTACCCCAGGCCTTTTAAATTTTTTTTTAAATTTTGAGACAGGGTCTAAGTTGCCAAGACTGGTCTTGAATGTGCKATCCTCCTTCCTCAGCCTCCAAATTGCTGGGATTATAGGCATGTGCTTCTGTGTCTGGCAATATTTTGTGGTTTTAAGCTTACCACTTTGTGGTACTTGTTGCAGCAGCCGTAAGTATCAGATAGTCTGAGATTTCTCTATCTTGCCCAACATTTCTGATTATTTCAGGACTGTAGCATATGCTATGTAAGTTTTGAGATAAGATCTTTTTAAATTTTCTTTTTATTTAAAAACTTAGAAGTTGATTATGAATTAATGTTTCTGTGTCTTCTTCCAATTCCAATTGAGCACTGGTATTTCTTTCTCATTCTTACTATATTGGAATCTGTTCCAGAGAAAAATCATTGACTCTTGCCTATGCTGAGTCTTCCCCGTTCAGTMCTATCTGAATGATTTCCATTGTCTCTGAACAAAATGCATGAATTTCAGGTGGTATTACAGGTCCCAAGTGATTTGCAAAGGTGCATGTTCAACAATGAGTTCATCCACTGAGAGATAAATGTTGTCATGGAACGTTCCTTTGATGATATAAAAGTAGAAAATCTTAGAAAGAGACACATTGACTCCAACCAAACAGCCTCTTCAATCAGTTCTATAATGAGTTTTTATTTTGCACCCAAAATATCCAGCAAAAATTTTTAACTTAGGGAGTACATATTTTCACTCATGAAGATTTTTTAAAAGATTGCTTTATGAGTCCCATAGTGTACCTTTTAAGATGAAATTAAAGRAAAACTGGAGATTGCTAGAAAATAAAACATAGGAGGATAGTGTTTGTATAGAGGAAGCATGATTTTCCCTGTGTCATAAATTTGAGGATGAGTATACTATGGCTGTTCATAGTTTATTTTTTATTTTTGCTTATACAAAAATTGACATACATTAGTCAATAAAAATTACTACAACTAATTGGTCTGTTGTGTGGAATAAAAAGTACTATTGGGAATAAAAAATAGAAAAATTGATCAAATAGACATGAATTCAAACAATTGTACAAGTTACCACAAGGAAAAAAACAAAAACAAACAAACAAACAAAAACTTCACATTTGAACTGTTTGTGGAAAGTCATATAAATAAAAAATATTTTTTTTGTCATGACAATAAAGAATAAAATGAAAAGCTCATGGAATTATAGAGAGAAATTGATGTTAGAGGAATAATATTTGATTAGMAAGAATACAGTTCAAGAGGAGCTATGTATAATAAAGTTATTTTTTTCCATATTACCTTAATTTTGTTGCTAAAAGGGAATAGCACAGAATAAAAGCATAGATATAAAAATAATAGTTCATATCCAGATATAGTATGGCTTTAATAAGGTTGGCACAGAATATGTTGTAGCAAATCATATTCTTTCCTTGAATTTGGTAGGTTGAGTAGAAATAAGTTAATACTAAGCAGACATATTTTAAGAAATTAAGTGAAAAGACCAAATAAGAAATAAGAAAGAGGTAAGAAAAAAATTCAATAAGAGCTTGAAGTTTTCAGATTCTATTGCTTTATAGAAAGTGTTACTGATACTAAAAAGAGGGGTAGAAACATCCATGTAACATAAATACATTTCATTGTGAACAACAGGTTTTATACCAGTGGCATAACAAAGTTGGGTGGTAGAATAGATGTGGTCTGTATACAGAGAATAATGGAGTATATTACCTMTAGAAAATTCATTAAAAATAGAAATACCGGTTAAAAGTATTCTTTTAAAAAATATATTGGGAAATTTAAAACATATAATAAAATACTTCTTACTTTCTCACTAAAAATTATGACACAAAATTCCTCAAAAATATTATTTTTCAAACTCAATAAAGATATTTAATAATATGGATACAAACTTAAAATTAGTGTATATCCTTTACTTATCTTTTAGTATAATCTGTATCATACATGGGAAATTATTTTGGCAAACTCCCACATACACAATTTGTCTTTAGCCCATGCAGATTTAGATATACACATTCACATGAAAATACATCTGTAAAAGCTCAGGTTATTGGTGCCTACTCAGGGGTAGTTTCTAAGTCGTGCAATATCTACACTTGTCTCTTTTTAAACAGATATTTAGTGTTATTGTGTTTTAATTTGTATTTTTCTAATGACCAAGAATGCTGGTCATATTTTACTATGCCTATTTCCTATCCATCTATAATTTTCTTTGATTAAATGAATGGTAGAACTTCTGTTCATTTGAGCAGCAWAAACATGTGTTTGTCTTAATTATTTTACACATGTATGTCCAAATGTGACAATAAATTTATTAAAAAGTCTATTCTTTCTCTATGAAATTGCCATCCTACTCTTACTGTAATCTATTGACCATATTTATTTGAATCTATTTCAAATACTGTCTGTGCTGATAATTAATATATATATAAATATATACTGTTCATTATATATATAGTAATTACTAATATTACTTTTTACTCTTTATAAAAATCCATAAATTTAATTCTATTTTTTCTGTTATTAAAATAGCCACTTTATATTTCTTTTGACTACAATATACATGTTATACCTTTCTAGATCTTATTTTTGACTGACATATGCTTTTAAATTTAAGGTGAATTTCTTAAAGACAACATATGTTTTTAACTTACCTCTTAAAATYTAAAGTGATGATGTCTCTCTCCTATTTAGCATTTAGTTCACATTTTATGTTATTGATACACTTGGGTTAAAATCTGTCTCAGTKAGCTCTTTTCTCTTTGTTCCATCTGTTCTTGTTCACACACGTCTTCTACTAATACATTTTCTGTCTTCAGCTAGTTTTGAATTTTTAGAAAATTCTCTTTTATCTTATTAAACTCTCATTTATGCATTTTAAAAAGTTAGTCATTCTCTTACCATACTGTCTGCATGTTATAAAATATAACTTCCATTCCTGCCTCCCATCATTTTTGCTATTGCTGTCAAATATTTTGTTTTCACATAAAGTGCACACAATCATTACATTAAAATATTTTTGTATTAAGAAGTCAGTTTGATTCAGAAAACATAAAAAAATGAATATTATTTTTCCACCAACTATTTTATTTTCAACACTCAATCTCTTTGGATAAATGCAAGACTTTTTGATCTGTGATAAGTTGCAGGAGATGACATCCTTCATTATGTTTATGCTTCTGTGTCAGGATGTAGACAAGTCGAAAGGAAGACCCCGAAGGAGATCTTAGCCTACCTGTTATCCCAAGTCACAGCAGAGAAGGCAGAGCACACCTCCACCTTGCAAATCTCATGCAAAATGCTTTTGGTGGGCCATGATGGCCCAGAACTATGTAGGGAAGTGTAAACTTGGAAAAGTGGTAACACCTTGGAGATGTTGCATATCCCCTCGGGGAGCTTTTTCCTAAAAGGCAATTTTGGGAATACTGAGGAATTTTGCCTCTTCAAATGATGGTGGTTGACAAACTGTCATWCAGAGAATGGGAGGAGAAAAGATGAATAGTATTTATCCACTATTTTTTTTCTGAATATATTCTCCATGTGAATTGAAATTAGTTTT